TCGCTAAACCATCATCGATAATGATAATCGTTCAGGGAACTGCCGGCATTGATCGAGAATCTTATTTTTAAAGGGGAAAATTCTGCCCCGCGAGTATATCAGACGCTCCCGAAATAAAAGAAGTGTAAACGTAGTGAAATTATCGATCAGCATCGCGCTTAATTAAATCGTTCGACTTAATGACGTCAACGAGCGAAAGAGCCAGCTCGTTAGCGAATCAATTCTGTATATATAGCAGTCGTTAGACAGCAGTCGAACAAGCGGCCGATTTAAATGCTGTGGTCAAAACATTTCGACGGATTCGATTCACCGCTGATTATTATCAGGGCCAGTATCCTTCACGGTAATCGTCGAATGCCTCGACCACGACTGTATAATATTCGTCGTTCCGATTTTATCTGAATATTTCACGAAGAAGAAGAAGAAGGATATATACATATATATATATATATAAGTAATCAGTTTTTGTCGTACCTTTTTATATATATTTGTTTATAATCCTCTAGCGCGTTATTTGAGGCATAAAAAAGAATTCTGACTTTAATTGAAATGCACAGTCTTTTTATTCAGCAAACAAACTCGTATCGTCTGCAAAAAGGATTAATTAATGTAGGCATCAGAAGCAACTCGAACTTGTTTATGAATCTTTACACATCCGATTAATTTTATCTGCAAAGATAAATGTAAATAAGTCGCTACAAGTATCAATAATGGTTAAATTTAAGGCGATGTGTCGGTATATTTTGATACGATGAGGTCGTTGTAACAAGGAAACGTAAACAAGACTGCGATATTTACGACGATTCAGAAGTCTACTTTGAGAATCTTACAAGACGACGAGTAGGCGGGAACATGTCCATTAATGTATTTCGTCCTTTTTCACTGTACGCGGCGTACATAAATAATACGGCCGCATGCGGACCATCACTCTCGATAAAACGAAAGTGAGATCCAACGGGATTTTGCACGACGGTCACTCGAGAGCAGGTTCATTCACTCGACTCTCTTCCCTGTTCTCCTGCGTCTGTTTTTGCCCCGAATTCATGTTGTCCATGTAAAAATATCTTGTATATTGTTTACGTCCGCAAGAACGGATTTGCGACGCTTCTGTATAACTATTTGGAATGAAAAGCGTCACTGGACGCTTTAATAAAAATGTCTAGGCGTCAATAATCTTTAAATTATTTTATATAATTGACCTACAATATCATAGAAAAATACAAGATTTAAATAATAATATAAAATCCAAACACGTGTGTTTCCGGAAGCGTATCGAATCATATTTGCGCATTTTAATTTAACTATATAATGCAGCGAATCGTCTTCGTTACGCAGCAATGAGCTTCAATTGCAGTGTTCAATTAATAAAATGCAATTAAATATAGTGCAGCTGTATGAAGGTTCCGACAATGAGACGGGGATGAGTGTAGAAATAGAAAACGATTGCCTATAATTAAAAGGTTATTCCTGACGCGGTTGACACAATCAAAAGTCACGCGAGATCTTCGATCTCCTCGATCCTCCATTGTTCAAAATCGTCTTGCACGTCGAAATGACTTCTTTCCGGATCGATGTCGTCCTCGACGTCGTTAGCGGGAATCAAACGAACCACGAAGTTGTTTCTCCAGTAGCGTCTCCATCGATGGCCGTGCAATCTGTAACGTGAAAAGGATATATTATCGGTTTACAATTATGATTTTCACTGATCTCTGCGACTACGCGGATATATTACTCGTCTCAATTACTCTTTTTGTGAGATTATAATTTCGAGACACGGTGTGTGGCTGCAATGGGGTAGTTCTCCAAATTTTTTATAATTACATAATCGCGCTTGTATAATATCTTAATTAACTCATTTTCCATTAACGACCGTTTTTATCCGCGCACGAGCGCGAGCTGATTTAACGGCTTACCTCCCTAACGTAATTATCCATCGCCAATAAGCTATCAGCGTCAATAAGCAGGTTGGTAGCATGGCGACTATCATCCAGGGTATCTCGTAAAAGCCGTTTCGCAGCAACATTTTCAAGGCCAAGGCGCACACGTAACAGGAAAACGCAGCTACGGGCGTGGTCATCACCAAATACCCGATATCGAGTAGCATCTCCTCGTGAAAGAGAACGTATTAAGTAGGAGTAATTGATAGCAATTAAAAGTCTAATTACGTGGAGAACGACGTTCAGGTGATATCCTATTAAATGTTTGTATCAACGTGTAAGATAATTTCAATTTTACATGACACCATATCGTTACTGCGATAATATCCCGTGTAGACTCAATACTTTATAGCTAGCATCCCTACCAACGGTTTACAAATGTTTAATGCAATGTATTTTGTACGGTAATGAAAGCGTACCATTCAAGAACTTAATTAAAGACGCTTTCAGCCTGACGCTCTCGGATGAAATGAAATGAAAGCGGAAGGAAAAGCATATAATGATCTCTTTTTCTCTCTCTCTCTCTCTCTCTCTTACCTGTCGAGTGGCTATTACGGTGCGGAACCATATTACGACGCTACGAAAGAGGCTGTAACGCCTTACTCTTTTGATCGCATATTTGTAGCCGCAGAGCTCGCATCTCACGCGACCGGACTCGGTTAGCCATCTCTCGAGACACTCAGCGTGCACCAGGGCCACCGTACCCCGGCATCTGTCGCGCCATTAAACGCTATATAAGGAAGGACAGCTACCTCTCTTAACTAAACTAGTCTATTATCGCGCGATTTCTGTATCATCCGCGATAATTCGCCGATTTACATGTCTACTCGCGCTCCATTTGGAGAGGTATTCCTGTAACACCCTTCTCGTTTCGATCGCGATTTTTTTCTCACGATGAATGTTAATTCCCAGGCATGACTTGAACTTAATTAGACACATTCAACACATCGTCGACTTGAAAAGATTAATGACCAATCTTTTTTCGAATAGAAAGTAATGAAAATCATATGATTCGAAGTAGGAGATATATAAACGCTCATTTTAATTTCATTCGGAATGAATCTTGGCTTTCTCGAACGGGCTGAGAGCTTACTTGCAAGCCGAGATCAAAGGACCGAGATAAACGAAGTTCGACGGTGTTGATGTCTGATCGTCCTGACTTTCAGAGTCACATGACTGATGGTTTTCCGCGATCGGAGCATGTCCGCCGCCCATGTGACAGATTCTACAAATATCGCCGGAGCCAACACACGCGTCTGAAATTATTTTATCCAGTTTATTTTATATCATGCCACATTTACTTTCAGATTTGTTTTACAGACCTTAACGACTACTAGTAATTAATGTTCCAATATGACATAATTATGTTTTCTAATATGAAACAGGGATACAAATTTTATTTAAAATATACCATCCTTATTTTGTGATTCCGTATCGGCACATTTCTCGTCATTTCCCTCTGTTTCCGGATCAGCTTTTGCGTTATCCAATATTCGGCTCGTTTTGGGCACTGCCTGAATTTCTTCCTTAACGGAACTTTCCGGACTTACTTGCGCGACGGATTTATCGCGTTCACTTGCCGCTAATAAATGTGCAACATGTGTCATATTATATATGTATCTTTAATAAATTTTTAATTATGCATGTAATTTATTTTTTGAAAATAACATTGGAAATTTTGAGAAATCTTAATTTTGCGCATAAAATTTTCTTTATTAACTGAATATAATTTAAATTATGTGTATTAAACTAACATATTAATCTTGTGCACAATAAGTTTGTCTGACAAAGAAAATTAATGTTAACCTATTTCATTCGTACGTCCGCTGTCATTTTTAGGCTCTGCGTTCTCGACGTGTGACATCAAAGGTGCTTTGCGCGCATTTTGGTGTACGCGCTTCCGGGACAAATCTAAAATTTTCCTTCAGGATTTTTCAGCAACCCGCCGCGATCGGCAGATGCGCTCGTTTGTGTCACGTTCCGTAGTCACGTTATTAGTCATATGATGTGATCGATCTTTTTAACAATCGATTAGTTAGCTCAGAAGTTCTATCTGTTACATCGAGAATGTAAAAACTAGATACTTTACAACGAACCATTACGAATTAAATTTAACTAAATTCAACTTTATGTCAATCGAGCAGCGCGCGAGTTTCTCTAAAGCCAAAATCAACAACGTTTCCTCATTTTACCTTGTTGCAAGTTTATAAGTCGCCGCAATTAAGCACGCGGAAGACATGCGGCAATGACGGGTGTGATGTTCAAGATGATACGAAATTTCATGGTGTCCGGCTCCACTGAAAACAACCGCGGGAAGACAAGGCATTTGCGTTGTTATCAGCTGTTCTTATCGTCTCGCGCTCCTCACGACCGCACCGAGACGGCTTATCTCAACGCATGCCACTCACACATGCTGGGATTAAGCATTCTCGGACACGTCGCGCATCTTCATTTTTCACGTTAATTATTTTTTTCGATGCTCGTGCGATAGTTGAGCAGCACAGCAGAGTGATCTCGGCTCTAATAGGAGACCCCAGGCAATTAAACTCTTGCATGTAACGACGTAGCAAATCGACGTGATTTGTTTCGATAAAATCTCTCGACCAGCGGTAGCACCGGTTTGTTACCTTGGTGCGTTATATGCCTCGGCAGGAAATTAGGCTACTAATTGCATATCGGCCAATAGCGCAGCGTTAAATTAGAAATTGCGGATTCATCTAGTCTCTTTAGACGTGGTGGCCGCGAAGTTGTAGTATCATGACGGCATTAACTCGTCCTACAGTCATTTTAATTGGTATACGCCATATAATGAACATCAATTATATCGAGATCGTATTAAATTGAAATCAATTTAACATTCATGAAATCTCGAAGGACGTGGAAGGATCGTTAAGATTTAAAGTCGATGGTGAAGCCCTTTTTCGCGTTCGTTGGAAATTTTCTCCGCGTTGTTAATCGAGGAGCCGCCGGAAATGCGTCCATCCGATCGCGGTATATCCACGGGAAGCCCGATCAGTCAACAACCACCGTCGCGCGCCACAAAACCGATCCCGTGTTTTTGGCATCGGACACGTTTCTCGTGGGCGGAGATTTCGACGCCACCGTCCTAGCTGCCTCCGGTCCGAGAGTGGACCGCCGGATTATTCTTTTAATGCTTCCGCGATCTCGCGCGGGATATTTCGGAATCGGTTTCCGGCACCGCGCGAAACATAAGTCCGGCCTGTATGTGGGTACGAGACTTGGATACGAGGACTCGGAGGGCTATTATTTGCGGCGAGTCTCGGCCACTTTTCGGAAACGCGCGCCTACGGATATCCGTTGACCTGGCGAATTAGGAGAGCGGAGGTCTCGTGCGCTAGACCTGGCAAGCTCTCGTAGAAAACATCTCTGGCGAGGAAACGAGAGCAAGTATCTTCTCATATCGAAAGCTCGAGGAAGTGAATAATTTATCTTAAATATATCTCTATCGAGAAATAATTTTAGGCAGAAAGAAGTGCTTTAAATTTCGAATTTAATATATAGATATAAAGATAACCGCAAATATCGAGAAACGAATAAGTATATACGATACCTATATTAAAAGTGACAAGTCATTTAACTTCGTAAGTAAATGTAAAAGAAAAATTAAAGTAAATTTTCTCTTTAACGACGATAAATCTTCCTCTTTTAATGACTGCTTTATTATCAAGATTTATAATTTAGCCGAGTTTTACCCCAAGAGTGTTGCACGTTAAGCAGGCTGATTAGAAAATCAAACGAATCGATTGAATTGGACGGTATTTCGCCTCGAGGAAGTCGAAAACGTCGGTGACGAGACAGCGGTCGGCAGGTGCCAAGTCTACCCTGTTTTATTTCTCTGTTGCTCTCGTTTGCCTCTCTCTTTGTTTCTCTCTCTCTCTCTCCAATCGTCGCTCGATCGCTTCATTTCTCTCACGCTCGTACACGCTCGAAGGAAATGTCAAGTCGGCGGGGCCATTTCCATGGCTGCTATTTCTGCCAGGTGGCCGATACCCGAGTCTAACCGACCGTCCGTCCGCCATTTTCCTACTCGACGTTTTTGGTTCAAGATTAATTAAATGCGTCTGGAAATAGTTACGATGGTCGGCAGCCGCGAACGGGGCGCGGAAGCGAAGGGCGCGGGCGAGGGGGTCCCACCAGTGGTGGACTCCACGCACGGTTGGATATCCGCAGCGCGCGATGTTAATCTTCGCGCGCACCTCTCCTGCCAGGAGCAACGAGAGCAAATAGTATACTTAAGTCGCGATCGAGACCTTGTGAGAAATCTCTCTGCGCAAATTTTTATTCTAACATATTACCACAGTGTTTTGTTCCCGTTTATCATTTGCGTTTGCAAATTAGAATCTAATTGTATAAAAATAGGATGTTGAATTTTTAAAACTTATGATAGAAATATCACCGATAGGACAGATAAAAGAGGCTAAAACTGTAAAAATTTTAGATGTCGAATAAGCAAAGTCTATCTTATACATGTCCCGATTTGATATCATTTTAGATATTGATTTAGTAATAATATCAACATTCTCTTCGCTATACACATTTCGAGGTCGCAACAGCGGCTTGAGGGTAAGCGAGTGTCGCAAAATGAAAGTGACCAGGGCTTCTAGATGAGTTGAGGATGAACCAAGGCTCTGCGACGCTGGGTCACGTTCAAACTGAATGGACCTGGAGACTCATTCATAATCGATACACTTGCGTGATTCCAACCTGGCCGACGGTGCCAACGAAGATTCATTGAGCTGCGAGATATTCCAGAAACCTTCACCTCCCGAACCAGATATTAATTCGTTTTTACAGGTCAGGCTTTGCGTTTCGTTGCACGGACCCCCTCTTGTATTTTCCGCGAGAAAAACCGTTGTACATCCTTCTTTGCGCACATATTATATACTGAATTATTCGAAAATCCTCGGGTGCATTTTTGTAAGTCTTCAAACTCGAAGTCTATCGAGCACGAACGTTAGACATCGATGATATTTACGAATGCAGAAGCGGCGTCTCAACGTCGCACGTGTTTCGAAGGGAGAGCGGTTAGGGCCCACAAACCAGCTAAAGATAGCAGCCGAAGGGGTCATTTCGCGATTCCTTCTCTTTCTCTCTTTTCTTCTTTCCCCCTCCCGATCTTCTTCGCTTTCTCGCCCTCTTCTTTCAAGATCGCAATTTATAGAAGCACTCGGCACCTGTCACCTTTCCCGCGGCTCACCGAGGACGCGCGCATTCTGCCTCCATCTCGGCACCGGCCACAGGAATAACCGACGGACCTCGTCGTGCCCGGTGAAGAAACAGCGAAGAAGCAGAAAGAAGAATACTTTGAAACATTTCGCCGCATCGCGCGTTTCAAAACAACGCGCGTTTGAAGCGACGGAATGTCTTCCAGAGAAACTGGAGAAAGAAGCGTCATCTTCCATCAATCATATTGTTTTGCGGAAGTACGAGAAAGAGAGAGTGAGGAGGGAGGAGAGAGGAGAGAGAGAGAGAGATTTTCCACGAGATTTCAAGAATAAGACACAAGGATTTCTTTTTCGTAATTATTTCTCTTAACTCAAAAAGTTGCCTACTTAAGCGCGACTTTAAGGAGGTCCTAAGCTAGAAAAATGTGTTTATACTGTTTATAGTTCTCCGTAGATATGAATATTGACATTTTTTTATATTGCGTTACGCTATACGACGCGTGCGACGCTAGTTCCTGATTACACGATAACACTCGTTAGTACACGGAACAGCGAGCGCGACGTTAACAGGAAGCGTACATCCGCGTGACCCGCAACGGGCGCCGTACCCTTTAAGTATTAACGGCGGCACTCGCCCTACGTGATCCTCCTGCTTACAACGCGATTCCGCGCTGTCAATCGCGCGATCTTCCGTCCTATAATTTACCACGCTTAGGTTAACACGTCGGCAACGATCGGAGGCGCGCGTAGAAGGGAGCGGAGACCGCCCGCCGAGCGATTCGACGCCGAACCCGCCGAGGCTCGACCTATAAAATAGATATATAGAATGTCGGAATTATATCGAATTTACAAGTGGACCGTAAATCAATTCGAAAATGATCCCGCCGTTAAATTAACAAGATGAGAAGTTTGATTTCGACCATTTGAATCGTAAAAAAGGTGACGTATCTCCCTATCTGTTAAGCGCCGCGTTAAGGAAATTTATCGTTTCTTTTGTGCGTGCCGCTACGGCACGCAACCTTGGATGGCAGCGTGTCGATCGGCCGTTGATCGCAGTTGGGAACCGTTTTGAATTATTCGCGAGCCTGGCGACAACGTCTGGGACAAATGCCACCCTCGCGCCGTTTACGCGTCGAAAGCAAACACAGACGGCAAAAAGGCGATCTCGCTCGTAAAGGGCGACACGGGTTTATCATCGTCACGTTGAAATGCCGTCGTACGACGAACAACATTTGCGACGCTGACCGTGCCGCACTTACGTAAGCTGCTGGCTTGGGACGTTTGCTTTGGAAATCGGAGCAATGTATTTATTTTTAATTATCTCATCCCCATACAGATATTACAGACCTTTCCTCACGCGCGCGGCTACAGCTTGTGTTACAATTAATAGCTTGTACGTTTTATTACGATAATTGCCGCAATCGTAGTGATTATTCATTAGACATAAAGACGAGACATTTCGCGAGAGAAGTGTCTTGCCGGATTAATGTCGCGCGCGTGTGGTAGAAGTTAAAAAACGGCCGACTGATAAAACTCGTTTGCGAAGCACTGAGATATTTACACACGTGGATTGATGGACATTAATTGAAAATAGGGCGGGTTTTTTCTGTTCTGCCGACGACAAGAGCCGCGCGCGAGCCGCTTTCGTCTCGTAACCTCGATTTCCCGCGACTTCGTCGCGTAACGTCGGCGATACACGGACGACGGGGCGACACAATCCTATTTTTGCGAATGCACCAGACAGTTGGACGTCTCCTCCGGCGGTTCTATTTACGTATCATAGCGAGCCGCGAGCGACGAGACGTAAAATACATACGGGACGCGGGCATTATTAGCGCGATGTCTGTTGTCCGCGTTCGCGAGGTTTAATATAAAGGGATAGTTTTCCTCTTGCAGCTGTCGCTATCTCGCAAATTTTACTCGTTAGTGTGCATCGAGATTCACGCGCTTTTTCTGAACGCAGAGAAATCGTACTGTAAACGATCATAATATCTTTTTATTAAAAAGAAACTTGCTGATAATTGATTAAACATTAAGAATATGTTAATATTTTACCATGACGCAAATATTAAACTTTACATAGAAATCATTTCATAAAAAAGACTAGGAAAGATTATTGTTATAAATTTAGTTAAACTTAACTGATTACATTCGTTTGTCGCATATATTATTTAAAAATTCTTATAAATTGCATCATCCTTTTTATTTGATCGCGGCCTGCTCAGAATCATAAGAAGGAACCGTATCTGCCTGTCCATCTAAACCGCAGCGCGAGAAGAATCAGGATCTCCTAATGATGGGCAGATCCTGTCGTGGCACAAGCTCTTCTTAACGAGACACGTTACGTTAGTAAAAGTTAATTTCATTATCTTTCTGATCGAGAGGATTCGTCGCCGTATTATACGATACAGCTTTTGCTTAACGGCCGCAAAGTCTGGCGTGATACCGGAGAAGTATATGCCCCGCGGGAGCTGAACGCATCGCTTCGTAGCATTAAAGCTAATGGCCGTAATAAAGGGTTCCCTCGGTGAGCACGGACAGTTTGTCGTAACATAAAAATGTTGTCGTAACATGAAAATTCTGCCCCGCGCGTAATTGCGTAGCCCCTCGGCCTTCTTTCCGGGCTACCGCGTGTCTCTTGCGGTAATCGCCAGGATCTTATAGCGTAGGATCTGTCAGGAGAAGAGAAATCGCATGCTGAGGTCTATCTTCTCGCCGACAAGATTTTCTCTCTTAACTCCTTTTCCCTGTCCTCTTCGTGACGATAACAGAGATATCATCCGTTTGTTATTACTTCTCTGCGCCTCGACTCGCCTCGCCAGTTTTACGACTAGTCCACCGTGTTGTCACGCGAGAGAGGCCATTGTCGCGTCTTCCTCAGACGCGATTCTAGATTTACCGGCCGTTTACGTCAAAGAACGCACCGCCGTGTCTTACCGGTCATATTTCTCCTCCGAGCGACAGAGGAGGAGCTCTCTTGCTCCTCTCGAATTCCATTCCATTCTACCTCGACTATTTTCTTTCTCCACCTCGCCGTTTTCATCCTTTGAGTGCGAAGGCGGAGGAAAAGATCGGTGTGCGCCGCGAAACAAGAATCCGTGAAACTCCAAGATGAACGACACGAGCTGGTGTCGCGGCTTTATGCATCGGATTTAAGCCTTTCGGTGTAAAAGGCTCGTCGAGGTCCTTATACTCATTCGAATCAGCGTGCTGCTCCTTTTCCTACGAGAGAACTTGGCGAGCTTAACCGGAATGAAGATGTGAGACGCAACGTTCGCTTTTGCAAAGAACCGCGGTGAATTAAACTTGGATTTCACGGCAACTGGATTTATAAGGCAATTCCGTCCTCGCTGCGGCGCGCCCCGGCTCTCGTAACGTATCACAGAATAATTTTAACACGCGGTTTACTTCGGTATCTATATAGCTCGCATCGCACACGCCACGCTCGCCTAGCGTTCGCGCATAAGTATATAGTGCGCGCGTTATAGCCCGGCGAGAGCGAGACGCGCGGCTAATCCGCCGTTTTCTTCCAACGTCGGCCGAGCAAGGGGTTTGCACTACTTGCACTACCGCGTCTAAATTCGCGTCCGCGTAAATCATCGTGCTCACGCACGCACGTGCGTGCCCGCGGCCACGCGCCGCGGGTACACTCCGTTCCTCGCGTCTTCGTTTTTATCCTCCCGGCACACGGCCCGCGCGAGTTCTTCCTACCCTGCGCCTGCCCGTCGGAAGATCGCCGTATCGCGTCGTGCGTATCTCTTTACCCGTATAGTTAATCCCTTCGCTCTGCTTCGCTTCGCATCGCGGGGAACGCGATACACGCTTGGGGCCGCGGTGAACGCGTTGGGGATCGTCCGTCACGAGGTCCGCGAAGCGAGAATGTACATCGCGTTGCGTAGATCGAGTTAGTAGTTACAATTGCAAAATACCCGTTGCCGCCAGCTTTAACTGCGTCTCTCATCGCACTCTCGAGCCTTTTCTTAAGGATTTTTTGGTTAAAATTTTTTAACATTTAACATTGAATGCCTTTACTCTGTATTTTCTTAATTGACCGTTTGATTAATGATTGAGCAGTGATTAATAGTTGTCACTGGCGATGACAATAACAACTGCGATAATGACAATAATAACGCGTAATGAGCGCCGGCTTTTTACCGGCTCTAACTCCATGCAGATGCGTGTTGTGATATTACCGTGGAGAAAACTGCATGGCATCGCCGCGGGTATTACGCGGCGGAGAAAAACCGTGGAGAACGATTAAAAATCCTGGTCGAGGAGCTCTCTCGTGCGCTTAAGCGCAGCCGGTCATGGCACGTGAACGGTGCTCGCACGCACGCACGTGCGTGAACGCGATGATTTACACGGTACGCGGATTTAGAACGTATACCCGCCGGTTGTTCCTCGGGCATGCGTGCGTGGTTGCGTACGCCCGAACATGTTCGTGCACATTTTAAAGCTTTAAGCGGACGTTAAAAATAACGTTAGTCTGTGAAGTAAAAAAGCTCATTACGTAATATATGCTATATTAAGTAACATGTTATCGAACTCCGTTTAGTCTTGAAACGCCATGTGTATCTTGAGCTGAATGTTATCGTTTGCGATGAAAATTATGAGTTTCATATATTTTTTGGATATTCAGGATATTAATTTCGAGTTAAAATCCACATGATAATTTTACCCCAAAAAATTGAGCAGTTTTACGCTGGGAGGAAAAAATAAATTCAGATTATTAGTTCGATCCTCGAAAATATGGTTACTTTACTTAGTAAAAGGTGTCTCTCTCGATATAGATCTGAATCAAATTCAAACGTATTTACATATTTACAGTTGGGAAAGCGTATTACTTTTTTTTGAGGCGCGTCGTTTCGACGCGCCAGAGTTCTTTATAACGAGCGTACTTTTTCTTCGAGGGAGAACCCCTTCGCTACTCGGAAAAAGGAAGCGACGTTAATGTCGCGCGACCCGACTGCTAGACGGTGCGGCCGCGGAAGACCTTGCCCGTCGTTCTTCGTGTGTTTGAATTTAGAAGAATTTAGTTCCAGGAAAGAGTTTGCGAAGGGTTTCTCCAGTAGTCCATTTCCACGTGCTGATCATTTCGCGTCACCCTTGTCTAGCACGAGAGATACTCTTCGGCCCTTCGGAACAACATCTTGATTAAATATAGAATTACTTTTAGGGTAATTTTTTCTGAATGACATCAGGCAATATTTTGTAACATAAGTTCGCATATATTAAAATTATTACGATGAGAAATCTTACGTGAATATTGAATTTTGATGATTCTTCACGCATAAAAATGTTTAGACAGAAAAAGACTAATAATACATATGAACGCATTAAGTACATTAGGCCGTAGCGACATTTTAGCGCGTAAGGTCGTCGTTCCCCGCGCGAGCTATTCTCTTCCACGTATCACCGTGCTCGTTTTACCCGTGGCGGACAGAACATAATGAGGGAAGCGAGAATAGTCCTTAGAAAATGAAGCAAGGAGAGACGCTTAGGGAAAAGAGGCCTCTCGGATGCTCCGAGAGAGATGACTGACGAACGTCGCTAATGAGAGGAGCGCGTGCGTTCCGTATTTTCCTCCTTCCTTGAACGCGAACCTTTGAAAATTCGGTTAACGACTCGGGCGAACAACGGGTCCCGTCTCCCTGTTTCGTTTCTAAATTCCTTTAGTCACGAGTCCCCCACGAGTTGCTTCCTTTTTCTTTTTCTCCACAAAGAAGCGCGAGAGTTAGCTGTGCAAAACGCGAGACGATCTTCTCCACGAGTTACTTCAAGCGCGAAGTGGGAGGTATTTTCGCCGCGCCGTATATTTCCATGAGAAAAATTGCCCAATATTCGGCGCTCCCGGTTTTATGATGGGCATAAAGCACGAGCTCTCTCTCTCTCCAACACCCGGCAATGGGTGTCATTTAGAAATCGCGGAGACAAAAAGGAAGATTCGCTTTAATGTCCCTGCGGGATGAAAAAGATCCGTCGCGGCCGATCCCCTTTTTAGACCGCCTTGGCGCTAACCGGCGATACCTCAAAGAACGGAGGAGACGTTCCTTTGGTGTACATCGTTCTCCGAATAATATTCTCTTTCCCCCTTTCGCCGCGCTCCGATCCACAAATGTTTGATCTCGCTGGAAATAGGAAACCGGTGAACGCTCGGCTTCTCTCTGTTTGACGTTTGCTCGGTTGCGATGTCGCTTGCAGTCGGCACGCACCTTTCATGCATATCGTGCAATGTGCAGCCCAGATTTATATAACGAAAACGGAATATGATCGTTTACGAGACGGTGAGATTAAATTTTAAAATGCGCATTTAAACTTAATTGTAAATCGCACGGGCATCTAGCGATGAGAGCGATATACTGAGGATTTATCGGTATGTACATACAAGAAAACAAATTGCTCCGCGCGTGGAAAATCCGGCGATAAGCCTGCCCTGTAGATAACGAGAACGCAAGCCACGGAGTTGCATTAAATGCGGCGGCAGATGGCTATACGACTTTACAGATAAAACATATCATTAAAGAGCACGTGCTCGTGCGTACCGCGTCATTGTGCGTGTATACGCATGAATTAAAATGCACGCGATTCACCAAGCCACGCGCTAAAGATGTAGATGTAATTGATGAAAATGATAAAACGTTTTGCGTCTGGAGTAAGTGATATAGTTATCGGTATGTTTATCCCCGATTAATTTGACGATTGCCACGTATACGACAGTCAATGAGTCAATTCGATTTCGACTTTTCGCCTTTCGGTGCCCTGACATTTGACGTTCACGCGAAAGCTTGACTTGGCCATGCGACCCACCGCGCGATTATGCGATTATAAGTTTTTTGCATCGCCTGCACCAGCTGGCGAAGGCCGTTTCGCTCGGATTCGATTAATCGCCGACGGGCGTTACCTCGGCCCTGGAATAATTCATGTATCCCTGGAGGTGAGCACACCAACGACGCCGGCATAGAAAATCGCAAGCGTCGATCTGGCGCCTAGTCATCGTGCGGAGATGTCAGATCAGTCAGATCGATCTACTCCGCGATGCATACCAATCGATGCATCCGTTGACGTTAGCGAACTCGGACGCGCCGCCGGCCTTTGTCTACCTCTATGTTCAATCTTGATCCCTTCCCCGATTTGCATGTCGGTCGAATTAATTTCGAAACGATACGCTAATTTGCTCGCGTTGCGCTCACGTCCTCGCGCCGAGGAGCGAGTTTCAGTCGTCCGCGGGTAGTAATCAGAGCTGTCTGCACGCAGGTAATACTTTAGAGATACATGCAAGCCCGTCGTAAAACAGGGGATAAGCAGTCACGCACGATTTAATATAGCCAATAAAATTTATTAACATTCTCACGTAGTTCTCGGGGATTCTCGATTTTTTGCTGTATATACATACACAATGCAGGTGGAAATATTAAATAGTCATATGTATTTCTTAAATCTTTGCGGCATATCCTCTACCGATATTTCAGTGAATCAGTATAATCCGCTTGATTCAGGTATTACATTCTATCCGTATTTTCAAGACGGCCGATATACATAATACATACTCGCATGCCCATATTTGACTAGGATTATCGGTAACGTTATGAACGGTATCTGAGATACATGCCGTCTTTAAAGTACGAATAGGACATATTTGTATCACAGTAACATATCTAACACATGTTACGAAGTTTGTACTCCATCTGACACATGACGCTAGCGTATAAAATGCGCTTCATTACATTTACAAATACTCTAGTTGCCGTCATACGGAACCGTTGTTTTATGTACACCGAAGTATGTAAAGTCTCCTTACGAGATCGCATGACGTATCAAATTGCGGTGCGCGATGAGTTACGGCAAGATGACGGATGAGACAATTATGCAGTTATATTACTCTGTTTTGTTCGTGTATAACGAAAGATAGCTCTAATCACACTAAAAATCTAACAACTTAATTGCACTTCCATAGCCGGAGAAAATTAATTTAGGAATTTCGGTGAATGTAGCTTCTTTTACATAATATTTACAGAATATCTTCGATAAAATTATGTGTCAGTTAAATTGTGACTGCCGTTTCTTCGATGTGTAAAAAGTGACACGTCGAAAGAAGCGTCGCAGTCGTGCAGAGTCGCGGATGGAACCCAATTCCATCCGCGTAAAATTAATCGTAATAGTACCTCTGAATGCTCACCACCGAATGTAACTCTTGTACTCTTCGGTTATACTCACTCTCTTGATAGTTTCGTAACCTAGGATTATCGAGAAACTAAAGCAAGCGGATTGTACGAGCCTCGCGGACAGTCCTTTGGTAAACATGTGCAGTCCTTCCTCGATCCATAGTATCCTAAACGCACTGAGCATACTGTCTAATCGTTGCACTTGCAACCTCGCCCTCACAATGTCCAAGGGATTCGTGATGATCGTGGTCGTGAAACCCCCTAACGTGCCGGCCATCGCCTGTATACACAAGTGTGAGAACCATGTCGGAAGTATCCTTATAAGCTCGTCTATCAAGAAGATATGAAAAGTGTTATCACTTTTTTATTTCCATGGTCTGGCCACGAAGTTTCAAGTACGAAATTACCTTGATAAACTGTATACAATCCCCACCAAAGAGCGCTGTTAGGTACATACGCGCACAAGGACGCCACGTACCCTCGGTAGAAGCCGCTATAACCATCCCTCTGATAAATCAATTTTATTACTTCCGCGGAGATTTGCGCTCGAGTCTTTCCGGATTCGAGGGTCACACCTAAGGGATTCATTCCCATCTGTAAAAGACAACAGGATTAGTATCTCAGGCAAATCGAAATTGAAAAGAATTTTGTCGGAATTTCTCTCACCTTATCTACGTACACCTTGCCGTGCTTGGTATTATTTATCCCGAGAACCATTAGATGTTGACTGAGAACGTCGAAGGGAACGACTATCGTTTGCCCGACTAAACTGGCAGCACCCCCAGCGATCAACGCTTTGACCTTCGAGTCAACGTTTCCGAGGGGTGTGTCTTGCCTGAGCAAGTGCCGTACTCCCTCATAGGTCGACACGTAAAATACCCCAGAAACGATTTGAATAGAGCTTATCCAGAAGCCTCGATAAAGGCCTGGGACGCCTTCTACTTTGTAAATTTTTCTACACGCATCTATCATACCTGCGGGATAAAAGAAAATTGTATAAAGATTCGTGGGAAAGTTTCCTCTGGTAGGCTCAGTAAAATCGATTTACGTAGAACTCAATTTGCGCTACCGTTGTACATGTGATTTTGTCTTTGCACTTGGAGGCGAGTCTTGATCACCGTCAGGGGATACAGGCAGCACCTGACCGAGAACGAGGACAGCATGCTGAGCGGAAAGAATTTGGTTTTGTCCATCATGTCCCACTCGATGGTGCGGATGAACGGCGTTGCCTCTACCGCAGACATCTCTCGAATGTGAGCAGATAGTGTAGCTTGTAGCGACAGATGGATCAAGTAGGGAGATTCGCAGAGGATTTGGTCTAACTTGATGCCGCATATCTCATCGATGTGTTATGAGCATTTACGCCCAAAATTCTTTGCGAATCTGTAAGTTTGTAATTACTGATGATTTTAGCAAAGTCAATGTAAAGTTGAAAGTATAATTACATTAAGTTGAACTAAAGATTAGGTTAGCTTAACCTCAAAAGGAGGACTTTCAAATTGTATATTCGTACAAATTTACAATACATATATTGTATAATTAAATTTTTATCTTAACGCTGCAGATCAAAGATGTCTTTTTGACATCATTCTGAGACATTCTGACACGTCTTTAACAAGTTGTGCTATTAATTGCAATATGTCAAAACATCATTTTGGAATTCGATCGATTCGATAACAAAAATCATAAATTTTCGCGAGGAATTTAACCAGATTTAACCGGATTTATACGTAAAATCAATCAACAAGATTGACAGTAGAAGAAATTCAATAACACTCAAGATAGAACAATTGTGAACGAAATGTAACGATACATTTGAGACGTATGACACTGGAGCAATCCAGTGTTCCGAAACACAAGCACTTTGTCACTCTTGTATTACAATTATGAGAAAATTTGTAAGGTGATTTGTTTGAATTTTTATTATTATAAATGATAATAATTCTAAAAATATTCTAGAATTTGACTATAACAAATTGGAGCAACATAACAAAAGATAAGGAAATCGTCATTATATTATATGATCGACATATTGACAACATATTAATACAAATATATCGACGTTGTTGGTCAAACAATCACGTGGAAAGGTGCAAGTCATTCACGAAAAATCTACCGCCACTTACAATGATGTAATACACTATCATCCGAGATAATTTACTCCGAAATCTTCTTCTCGACGTTCGCCTCTACGCTATCGGAGGGAACCTTCGATGTTTACAACATACTCGGCGTGTCAACCACGTTATCGCGTATCACGTCAGCAAGCGCTTAATATATTTCTTAGCGCAAATTCATTTTCATTCACAATTTCGCGATTACGAAGTTACTCGAGATTGTAAGTAAAAGCTATGGAAAATTATGGGTCATCCATTCGGCAAGGTTGTCGCGCACGCGCTCGTATATGCTCGTATATTTCTTCTTGGTGGTGACATCTCAATGAAAATCATCCTGGCTGTCACGTGATGTATTTAACTACGGATGTTCAAAGCGGTAGCTTCTATCGATAACACAAGTGCTTATTGTCACTATGCTGGTTATATAAGACAATGAAAATGTGTATATCCTAAAAAACCGAATATTTTTCCCAATAAAAATAAATACAAGATTTTATATACCTACATACATATACATATACATACATATATAAAATTATATGTGTAGTATATATATGACCGTATAATGGTCACACATAATTTTTTTTATTACAATTAGACCTACGTTTTTTAATTTAACTCCTATGTATTACGAATGCCTCGGAATGCGCGATGCTCTATGCTCGTTTATTTTTCCTGCAATTATAGTAAAACACAGCATATAATATTTATTTGTGTAACAAGTGTCGTAAGATGAAAATTCCCGGGTACGGTTACCGCACTCGCCTTCGGCTCGTGCGTAAACTCCGCACCCGGGAATTTTCATCTTTACACGACTTACACTCCCTATTTTATGTGGCAAGTGCCTGGAAAGTGGTCTATCACGCACGCGTAGCGTGCGTAATGGGGCACTTTCCATGCACGTGTTGCATAAATGTATAACATACAATAAAATATAATAATGCGCGACGATAAATCTTTTCTCCTTTTTCTCACTTCTGTTACGTATGCGTCATCGCGGAAGCGTGTCGGTTTTCAAACCGACGATGATTCGGCGGCAATCCAAAAGGGCAATCCAAATTATTAAATCGCAACATTAGTCAGCGGGTTCGGTTTTAAGTTTCTCGCTTAACGTGGTCAGGAGCTTCTTCAGTTTGGCGACGTCGTGGCTGAAGCCCCACATGATACATCGAGTATGCTCGGCGGTGGGCAAACCTTGGAATTCGGCGTCCGTGTTGTACCATTGAATGTGCTTCTCCTTTATGCGATCCACCAGCTCCCGTAAGCGTTCGTTTCTCTTCACGTCCCACGTGACGTCTGACTCGGGAAATCGGACAGACCTGAGTTTCTTGTAATCGCCGTCGACCTCCTCGTAGACCCTGTAAAACCAAATACAGCGAGGATATCTCGTCAATAAAATTTAATTTCGCGCGAATCTTCATTTCTTCGCGAATTCTTTTTACTCACTTGAGGAAGCCGTTGTCTTCGACGCCGTATTGCTCGGCCAAAGGCTTAAAGGCCCGCACGATGTCGATCGTCAGATAATTGAAGTTCTCTTTCGATCGGCCGTTCACGTTGTAGTCGGTGATCCAGTTTTCAAAGACCTCGATAGCTTCCCGTATGTTCTTGATCTTCTGCTCGTCCTTCGTGCACGATATCACCCTTCCGGCTCGCTTCACCAGCCCGCTGATCGCGTGGAACTGATACGACACGTCTCTGCCCTTCAAGGACTTGATACTTTGCAAGGCTTTCTCCTTGTCCTTAAAACCCAGCGTGCTCTCCGTTTTTTCGTTCCGCTCGTTCTCTTCAGCTTCTGACGAACGTCTCGCGCGCTTCCTCTCCGAATCGCTGTCGCTCTCGCTGCTCGACGAGTTATCGTGAGCTCTTTTAGCCGCCCTTCGTTCCTCCTCGACGTCCATGTCGTCGTCGTTGTCTTCGCCGAATTTTTCGCGCGCCTGAGCCGCCAGCTTCTTTAGCTTCGTAGGGTCGGGACTGTAACCGAGCGCGATGCATCGCGCGTGCTCCTTCGTCGGTAGTCCCCGAAAATCGCCCACGTCCGTCTCGTACCATTGAACGTGCTCGTCCTTGATCCTGCCGATGATCTCCTTCAGGCGCCTGTTTCTGTCGATATCCCATGTGGTGTCTCCGTTGGGAACTTTTACATCGCGCAAGCTCTTGTAGTCGCCCTTCTTGTTCTTGTACGCCCTAACAGAGAGAAAATCGATATTAGCTCGCTGAAAAACGCCTCGAGCCTTTGCGATGATATATTCTCTCACCTGAAGAACCCGTCGTCCCACACATCGTACTTCTTCGCGAGGCCGCGGAAGGCCCTGATCGTTTCGATCGGCAGATACGCGAGGTTCTCCTTTCCTCGATTATTCTCCTTATAATCCGTCAACCAATCTTCGAAGATCTTGAGAGCGTCGCGCAGATTCGTCAGCTTCTCTTCGTGTCGCGTGATCTGGAGCGTTCTTTTCGCACGACTGATGAAGCTCGTGATTACGTGATATTGATAACTGATATCGCGACCGTCCAAGATCTTCAGCGTATCCAGCGCTTTCTGCTTGTCCTTGAAGCCCATGCCTCCCTCCTCCTGTTCCGCGGACTTCGTTTTCACCATTTTGACTGCGCGAAAAAAGAAAAAAGAAATCGAGCTGAATTTCAGTTCTTAATTAAGATGACGCGAATATCGTATGGACAAAATGCAGAAATTAGGAGGATACGAGTTATTCAACGGTGACATGAACATCAATCGATTTTAGAATAACGCGATTATGCGTGTTTACTGCTAATCGCTTCGGCACTTCCGACTGTCATTGCTGGAACTCAATAAAGACGTGGAAATGATGAATTACGCGTTAGCGGTGTTTGACATCGCTCAAAGTTAGTTTCGGGAAACTGACGACGTGCATGGAGCAATCGATTCAGAGCGGTACAGCCAATCATCAGGAGAGGATGCGCCCGGAGGCGGAGAGACAGTCAATCAGAATGCGAAACGCATATGTCAATATTGTCAATTTTAACGTTGACGTAGTCCTCGGATTATGGAGGCTACATGACTAGGATCAATACCGACCGCGGACGATGGTTTAATCGTTATATTTGGCAATCACCGTTTGTAAATGCGACATTCCAGGCGCGCTGTGTAACGCTTGATTTTATTATTATAATTCCGAAATTTCTTTTAATTCTGACGATTTTGTTTTGGCTGGATTCGGGGAGCGCGCTATTAGCGCTAATTGCTTATTCTATCCTTGTTTTACACCTGATGAGCGATAAAGACAGAATGATTCAATAGCGCTAATAGCGCGCTCCCCGAACGCAGCCTTTGTATATCGTCTATGTACCTCTATTCTGTAATTTTTAACAACTGTGTCGTTATCGTTACACTGTTATCGTGCAACTTTTTTACCATATATTATAATTATACCTACGTAACGATAATATAACGATAACAAAACTGTCGTTAAGAGTTATAGAATCAGGGCCCTGATGAATGCTTTAGTGCGACGTTACTTTATTGTCCACTCAAGGATATATATGTAAACTAGCAAAATAGATTAATTGGCTAGTTTTGCTGAATAATAAAAGTTAATAAAATACTGATAGAAAAATAAAGCTTTAAATAAATCAATAGAGTACTTACCAAAATTTCAGTGCCGTTGATTGAGTAATCGCACAGTATTATCGAGTTGCGCACTAATTAATCAAGATTATCACTCATACGAATCTTACTTCTAACTCTTAGATGTTACCGTTACTTTGCGAAGTGTGGCAAGTGGTTTTTGGTCGCAAGGCTAATGATGACTACGAGCCGGCTTAAGTCACCGGTTATACTTGTCAGTGAAACTTCGTCGCGTGTTAAGAAAGGACGGCCGGCGAAGTGAGCGAGGGAAAGCGAGAAATCGATATAAACACGCTTGGATCGCATGTGTCAGAGCCCGAAATATACACGCGCGATCACGCATCATCGAGGACGCGTGGAGAGGATGATCCCATCCTATGACTTAATATTTATTGATTTTTTCGGGATTATCGAGCTCTCGTTTCGCAACACGTAAATTTCCTCGATTGCACGTTCACGCTCTTGATATTTATGATTTTACTTGTTACCTCTCGCTCTTGAAGGAACAGATTTGGGATAATCGTGTTGTGTCAAAATCGAATTACTCTAATTTATGCTCGACGAGTTGTTAATGTACACCAAGCTGTAAGTAAAAAGTACGAGTCATATATCGTATTTTTAATAATCGTCCTATTGATAAGATTTATTTAATATTTATAAAATAAATTACAACCGCGATAAACTACTAGACACGCGCACAATAACGATCGGAGATAACGTATCGACATGAATCGAAGAAAAATTCGCATTCAAACAAATTTATTAGTCTATCTCCAAAAAGTCTGATAAATTAGCGCGGAAAAATAAGTATTATTTACAATACCATGTACGTCCAGACGACTTGGAGCCTTGCTCCAGTTCGAAGATCGTCAAGCATAATCGATAGATCTCCCTTCGAATAATATGCAAACAACAGATTCGATCACATTTATTTAACAGACGCAGCTTCCAACGCCTAAACATGTGTACGGCGCTTGCTCGAGCTTCGAGCTCGCCGCGCCGTCCAGTATCGAGGATTGCGACGGTACAGCCGGGGCCGGTAATTGCGATCTCTGCACGCTGTCATAGGGTATCGACTCGGGCTCCCGATCTCTGCTGGTACTCTCTGTTTCCTGGGTATACGAGTCCCTCGGGGGTGGTTCTTGCGCCTTCGAATCGAAAGCGGTCTCGTGCGACGACAGTCGACTGTAGTTCAGGAAGGTCTCGGTGTAACTCGGAGTCGAATGATGATGATGGTGATGGTGATTGCTGCCGTACTGGTGGGAGTAATGGGGGTGATATCTGCTTGATGGCGTTTTGAAGCCCTCGTTACCGCCGAGGTACTGATGCAAATGATGGAGACTGGAAGGCCCGTATACTGTATGGAAAGTAATTTAATGAAAATGTTAATGTCTCGTAAATGCTTTATGCAATTTTAAATGCGAATTCCAATATACGAAATAATTAATATATAATACCTGCGGCGGTATTCGAGTACATGGCGAAAACCGCGTCGCTATACCCCGCGGCGGGATGCTTCATCAAATCTTCGTTCCCGCCCGCTCCTTTCCCGGGCACCGCATGGCTCCGTACCACACCACTTGGAACTTCTCCGCTAATCCCCGAAGACGCGCCGGTACCGTACGCCATGTTGAAGAGCGCTTCCGGATCGCAGACGAACTTGTACACGTATCGCTCGCCAGCGACCTTCTGCATTATGCCTTTCTCATAATAGTATCTTAACGAGCGACTCAACTTGTCGTAATTCATAGCCGGTCTGTTCTTCTGGACGCCCCATCTTCGTGCCACCTGCCAATAGAAACATATAATGAAAGATATAGTATAAAAAAAGCTATTATAATTTTTTATTACATATTTTAATACATCTTCAATCACTTAAAAATTGAAGAAACTTAGGAAGTTAAATAAAACTTTTCTCGAGTGTTTTCCACAAACCTCTTCCGGCTCGATTAGTTTAAATTCCATCCCACGTCCGGTCCACGCGATGCAAGGCGCATTCGCGGGGTCATCGAGCAAGGCTACGAGGAACTGCCACAATTGTAGGGAACCACGTCGCTGTTGCTGATAACCGACTTCGCTCCAAGCGGACACGCCGGTCGCCGACGACGGCCTCTTGTTGATGTGATCCGGGTTCCAGAGCGAAACAGGCGAACCTTTTTTCTGATAACAGCCGTTCTGTCGATCCCAGGACGAGTTCCTGGGATCTAGCTGCGTGCCGAGTTCTGTCCAAGTCGGCGTGCTGCTTCTTTTTGCATAAGCCTCGGAATTCCAATTCTCCTGTCGCGATAGAAAGGTCTCGGAGGAAACGGAGAAGGTCGACTGCCATTGGGAAGTTGAAGAAGAAGCGCTAGCTGGCCGACTGGACGGTGGTGACGATCCTCTGTGATCCCTCGTCACGTTTCCGTACTGCTGCTGTTGACGTTGTGGATAAATTAGGTTGCTCGCTGTAAAAAGATTGTAACGTGATCCTAGAATCGCTATCGTCTATATTACGATAATTTAATTTTAAATTAAATCGAAGATGTTCGATATAAGTATTTATAATCCGATTTTGGTATTTGACAAGTTTTACTCCTACGGTACGATAAATAAATAAAGTCTAAAAATAAATAATTATAATTAACTAAAGACTCGCAATATTAAAATTAACGAGTAACAAGGAAAAGTGGGCTTTGAGAGTGGGCTTAAATACGATAAAATTCAGTTTTCGTTGTCTTTCTCAGTTTGTCAATCTCTCTTCTTCGCTGAATTTGATTTGGTGAGTGGATTTTACTTCTATTTGCCAACTAGTTTTAATTTTCATTTCTAGTTCCGAATATTTTGCGGACTATGAATATTTCTGATATTTTCTCTTGAAAATTACTAGATATTTGTGTATATCCAATTTTTAAATACTCATTTTATGCTCGTCGGAGAGCTTCAGATTATTTACCTATCATCGAATCGCTGAAAATATGGCTCAAAGTACAGTCGAAACGTACGATTTATAATTTGTATTAAATTATTAATTAAACTATTAATTAAATTTGTATTAAATTAATTAAATTATTAATTAAAATGTTACATAGCGTTAACTCATGCACACAATTAATCATATGTTTGACTCACAAAGCCCACTTTTCCTTATTAATCAAATCTACAGAAAGCGAATTTATACTTCAGCGCTTCAGCGTGCAAAAATATTTCAAGTTCCGCACTTTTGCAATTGCGCTCGTAAGACGTAGGCATCACGACGTAGAAAGATGCGAGAAAAGTATCAGATTATCCGCGGGCGTTTTTTCCGCGGGGGAAGGAGATGGAGGAGGCGGACGAGGAGAGAGCCGAGGAAGAAATTCTCGAGAGGACAAAACGCGTTCCGTATTACCGATTGCACTCACGCGCCGGGCCGGTTGAAGCGCTCTCGTCACACAAATATCAGCAGGAAATTGGTGGATATTCAAAGCCCACCGGGGGCTGGAACCCGCGCGCGATGGTACCCCCTGAAATATCGAAAGCCGGCAGCTCGCGCGATATGTATATTAATCGGGCCGCGCTCCTCTCTCTCTCTTTCCCTCTCTTACTCTCGGGGGCTGCCACCGCCAACCCCCCGATCGACGTCGCGGCACCGAAAGAGCCATTCTCGAGCCGTAATCCGGTTACGCTCCAAGTCGCGCACGGGGAATATTGAAAAATTGAGAAGAGCCGCGCGCGCGACCGAGGAGAGTGCCGATAAACGTTGCTGCAGCAACATCGCGACGCATCCGACGATGTCAAAAACGGAGGAAGCGATGCGCGATGACCCTTTCCGCCGGACGATGCAACCCTTTTCACCGAACGATGCATCGGTGAAGACCATTTTCCGAATTTTCTCCAGAAAAAGGAGATAAAAAGAGATCGCGCGACTTCAAATTGTTTAAAAGAAGAAATAATACGCGAAGATGTGTCTGCGACGATTGGCTAAGTTTGTTATCGCGGTATCAAGACTACGAGAAGTCGCGTCGCCCTAGATTGATATGAAACACGTGCATTCGAATTATCTGCTTTTTTCATTGGCATCAATAAGCTTCCGCAAGCTCGAACTTACATGTAACGAGATATGTCGGCAGAGAAACTTGATGGAAAGGTCATCCGCGTTTCGGCGAACGTAGGACGAATCTCGGACGGGGAATCGGAAGGGAGCCGAAAGCTCAGGGGCCAATCTGGCATTCTCTCGAAAAGCGAAGAGAGAAAGAGAGAGAGAGAGAGATGAGAGGGAGAGGGAGAGCGCGCGGCGCCAGGGGGTGGCGAAAGGGGTTGACCTCAGCCTGCGAGCCGAGCGCGGGCCAGAGGCTTTGCGGGTGGTTTTAGATTAAAATTAATCGCGAGCTGATGAAACCGGTGGCGATGTACCACCACCGAGGGAGGCCGGAGAAGGGTTGAATTCAGGACTGGTCATAGGGACGGCGGAACACGACGGCCCGGCGAGGCGGCGGGGTGGGCTCGGCTCTACGGAAAAGAGGATGGCTTCCACTCTCGTCCACTCTCAGACGAGGAGAAACGCGTTTTGCCCGCTGCTCTTCCTCCCTTTCCATGCTCGCGCGTTCTCTCTCTCTCTCTCTTGCTTTTTCTCCTCTCTTCTGCCTCGCTGATCCTCGAATTCCGGCATAGTGCTCCGTTAATAATGCAAGCTCTATTTTCCACCCACCTGACGAGCGCGGCGAGACCTGACGAGCTCGCCTTGTCCTTTCCCGAGCGTACGGGAAAATGCTCGTTTTGCGTATTCCATCGTCGCGCCTGTATACGCTTCTCTTTTTCTGCCGGCCAAAATATTTATCGCGACACGTGAATCAAAGATAAAGCCGAACGCGAATGGAAGTTTCGCTCGGCGAATTTTCCGCGAGAGCGCGGTGACTCTGCGGGCAGAATAGACCGTCGCGATCTGTAATCCACGTAATCCTCTGCTCGTATTAATTAGTGGAACTGTGAAACCAATCGGTATCCATTAACCGGTTATTACTATTCCGCTCTCGTCTCGCTACTATCGCTCTCCGAATTGTTTGGCCCCTCTAAACGAGATGATCTCGATTATCTCCTTTTTTAATCCATACCTTTTTTAAATATTTTTCTGTCGGTATTGCCGTTCGGATATTTAACGAATTTTTGCGATACGTTTTTACGCGAATAATACAATAAAGCGTACACTACGCCGCTTTGATCGATGAATTCATTTAATGTATTTTTTTTTACTTAAGAATAAATAATATCGAAATATTCAATCATTTTGACGGATAAAACGAGACGATTTTTCCGTTTGAAAAATAAATTGGGTGATCGTAAGTAGATTGCGGGATATCGATACGGGCGATAGGGAATGTATCCTATTATTAACCTAAACTACGTGTAAATAATTAAAACGGCTTAATGGTAGGGAGAATTACGCGAAGAGAAGCACGAGCATAATCCCAGGTGACTTGGTAGTAGGCGGGTAGTATCGCGTATACAGTGTCGAGCCATGGATATATAGCGTAACCGAGTTCCTAAAGGATTCGGCTCGCGATTCTATATGTATGCGTGAATAAAGGAAGACTAATCGGTCTGATTACAAAGCATGAGCTTGCAACCCCTCACCGACTCTACCTTTTATGGACGGGACGAGTGGCGGCCGGCGGTGGGTGGCCGATGCGTATTTTCGCTTTTGCTTCACAGCCTATTTAGATAATGAGCCTTTCGATAGAAAAATGATAATTATTGTCACTGAAATATTAGTTAATGGCCCGTCTTCGTGACTGAAATTTAATAAAACGAGATAACTTACATGAATGATTATTCATGTAGGATTTGCTTGTACCTTTTTAGAAGAGGATTAGCGATCGTTACAATCAATAATAAAAGTTCTTGAAAGATAAAACTTTCTTAATTTTTGCTTTAACGAGTAACAAAAGGATTTCTGGAGGAGCTCGAGCTAGTAGTTGCTAGAGACACTGTTAATCTTGCATCAAAAATCTTCTTTGCACAGCTGCACAGGTCACGAGAGAGAAAGCTTTCGACTTACATTTTCCCCCGGGAATCTCCAGCGCCTCGCGCTCTTTTCTTTCTTTCGGTAACTTTTGCTGGAATCTACAAGATGTTCGCCATAGCTTTCGACTTGAAAGCATCGTTTAATTATTCAATTACGCATGCTCAGTCACGCGTGAGTCCAGTGTATTAGTCGTGTGCCTCGTAACGGTCATAAGGAAATGTTGGCTCTTATACAAAAGTAGTCGTTACTTTAGCAAATGTCTCGCAAAATGGCACATGCAAAATGCAGCGTATAATAAATACAAAATAAATATAATCTCTTCAACGAAGCTGTTCCTGCCGTTCTGCACGCTCCTCGTTAATTCGCTGCCGGTTTCTTGAATTTTTGTTATCACATGCATTTTAACAATCGCAGAATATACGCGAGGAACAATTAACAACGGCGCGGACCGATCATTATCGACGTAGCCGATGGGACCCTCAAAGAGCTAATCGGAAGTCGACTCGATTAATGGAGAGCGGTACCCTCGTTGTACCCTCCGATTATTTATGGACTCGAATCCATGGGGTGGAAATAGCGCCACGTGGATCCTTTTATGCCGGGATTTGTCACGGCGATGGATTTTCGTGCGGGGATAAAAATCAACGAGTCGCGCGTTTTTTTCTCCTTCTTCTCGATACACGATACCGATTAAGAGGGTGCCGTCGCCGAATCTCTTACCGTTCTCCTGAGACGTTGCGGATGATATGTTCGTTATGGGAAGCGGCTCCACGTAGCTTCGGTCCGTCGGTTCTTCCTTCACGGCGACGTCCTTCGTGCTCTTGTTAGCCGGTCCGTTTATCTTCCGATTCCTACGGGTAACACGTAAGATTTCGCTCTATACAATTTCGCAGATTCACAGTTCGACGGTTCGCGCGACATTTCTCTTATTCGCAAGGCAGTTACGTTGTAAGCGCCTTGTAAGGCTGCGGTCCACTTGACGCTACAAATGCTTTGAAGCATTTCTTTTCTCCTTTCTTTCAATGAAGAAAGAAGGAGAAGAAGAACACTTCGAAGCATTTGTAGCGTCAAATGGACCGCAGCCTAAGTCGTTTTATGGTATTGCAAAAAAAAAAGAAAAAAATCGATTGGGCTTCTCTCGAACTTACCCGAAGCAACGGTCCGAGCTGATTTCGAGGAAATCACTGTTCTGACTGTGCGCGACTGGTACCGAGGTAGACTGATACTGGGGATGATAATTGCCGTTGTCGCCATTTCTCGTGCAATTGCTCGACTCTTGCTTCACGTTCGCACCTAGAGCAAGTGAAACGACTATATGATATCACGATCCATGGATCCTCTCGCTTCGTACAATCTTCCTTTTATCGCGACATTAACGACGCGATCGGGAAGTGACTTTTACGACAGTCTCGCAGGCTCCTCCCTATACGCCGCATATCGTTACTGTTTACCGAGTGCGTGGCGCACAATCGTTTTCTTCGGACGATTCATAGCCGAAAGAACCGGCGGGGCGTCAGGACATAACGGCGCGTGTCGTACCGGAAGTAAAGACGCATCGCTGCAGCGACACGTGAGAGGGAAGGTGGGGTCTAATGGGGTGCCGACGATTTCGCGAGGGCGAGGGCTGCGCCCCCGATAAATCAAACAGACTCCCGGGTCGTGGGAAGCATAAGTCACAAGCCTCCGGCAATAATTGTATTTGTAAACATTGGAAGTTTACTGATAGGAAGAAGCGCGTCGGTGCGCGCCAGGGTAGATTGAATTATCTCGGCGTCGCGTATCGTCGGCGAAATCTCGTAATAATGATTTTCGATAGCGGGTTCTTTGCCGTGCAGCCAGAAAAATGAACCGTCGAGGCGCTCGTACAGTCTTCAGCATTTAATAATCTTCACATTCTCTTTAGCTAAAAGAAATATCTCTTTCCAAAGAGAAACACTTCTTATTAAGTTCTCAATATTGCTCGTTAGTTGAGCCTAAACTCGAGAAATTTAGGAGCACCATGTTTAACTTAAAGATGTCAGATGCTCGTGATGTTTTACATAAAGGCCTATGGCTGCGAGCACATACGAGCATGTATCTCCTCCTAAATGCGTCGCAAGCTACATATAATATTACGCGGAAGATACGCGGCCTGGGAATTGCGTGCGCAAGCGCGTGTGCGTGTGCGTGTGCGCGCGCTCGCATGTGTGCACGTTGGATGCGCATATAGACATTAGCTAGCCCCCGATTCCCTCTGGGTGTTTGCCCGCCCGGTTGAAATGTTCGACGATACGTTTGTTCAACGCTGCTCGACGTTGAATTACACGTATCGTGCGTCGCGAATTTTGCGAATAATGTAAACTGCGGCCCGGCCCGCGCGCTTCACGTGGAGCTTCGAAAAACGCGTCGGGAATGTGCGGCGGCGACGGCCGGCGGTCCGATTTCTGCCCGCTTATCATAATGATCCGCGAAAAAGGCGCGGCGTATCGATAGCGACGTTAATAAGCGCGCGGCGTCGACAGGGGCCGGGGGGAGGGGAAAAAGAGCGAAAAAAGAAGGAAAAAGACGGAACGAATCGCCGCTGGCTTAATATAAAGTGCTTACTCGCGTAATCCGATATCGATGATCGCCGAGGCGCCCCGTGTTGATTCTTTCCGCTCTCTACGCTACGCTAAAAAGAACTCTGCCCCGCGGGCGTCTTCTCGCTGGTTTTTAATAAAGGACCGATATTGCGCCCCGCCGGGCTGTGATTTAACAGTCGCGATTTACGTAGCGGGGAAAATTCGTCGGACGGGTTCCCGTGCGCTGTTCGCCGAATCGGGCGCAAAAAGGCCGTGGCCGAGCGGAAAAACCGCAACCGCGCGCGCGGAAAGTGTCGACGACTAATTAAACATGCAACGTGCGGTGTGTATCGTGTCGCTAATTGACTCGCCGATTACGCAACAGTTACACGAGCGGGTGAACGGGTCATTCGATGAATTAAATACGATTATTCCTGATTATTCGCAAAAGTGTTCTCTTCATTTCGCTTCCACGGATGTTACCGCGCGAATTTCGATTCTCGGCTCGACTCGGATCGCTTATCGCTTTATTTTTCAGGGCAGGCCGCGTCGGGAGAAGACGCGATCTCGGGCGTGCGTCTTCGAGGAGAGGTCTAGACGCTCCGGAGAACGCGCGGTAACAGATTTTCCAAATCAATTTCGAGGCCGAGCCGACGCGCGAAACACTTCCGTGCCCTACACACGATTTCAGCGGTGATTTCAGCGGAGATTGACATCCTGCAATCCTGTTCCGCGGATTCCAATCCCGGGATTTATTTATCCGGCCGAATTATCAGACATCGCCGTATCCACGCGACGCGGCTAATGCGGCGCGCTATCTTTCCGCAATAATCGATCGGATTAAACGGTATGTAGGTAGCCGACACAAACGACTCGTGAACGCTTATGAACGGAGCGGAACAATGAAAATGGGCGCTTACTCGACATCTGATGGAACTCGGGCACGTATTGCTCGCTGTCCTCGGTTTCGGAGCTGCTACCTGTGCGAAGGGGGGAATTTTCATGTTAGCTCATTTGTGCGACCAATTGAACAGAAATTACATCTGCCGCGGGTGGGAACGTAAAAATAAAAAATTCTGCTTTAATATCTAACGAAAATATCGAGCTTCCGTCCCGCGGTAAAATCATCCCCCTTTGATCATCCGTTACATTACGTCCATCGCGTATTACATCGCAGTTGGGCAAGGTAATTAAAATTAATGTTCCGAGCGAATAGTGGCTGCACGTAATTATCTTCGCTGGCGGCTTAGGGCTTTAATTTCATGCTACATTTCTAAATTCTAAAAATCGATACCGAGATTTCACGACTTTAATGTTTAATGACATTCCAATTTTTAGTAAATCTTATCAGGTCCATTTTATCGGCGTTATTTTATAAAAACTATAATTAACGATGTAAACAATTTTGCTTGACGTTATTCTTATACCCATATTCTAACGGCTTGATTTGTATCTAACAATAAGAAACAAAAGTTTTCCTACAATCGTTATATTATTGAAATTTAATAATATGCAACAATATCATTTTTGTTACGAACGCTTTTGGGGCAAAAAAATATAAAAAAAAATAACCGCCCGAACAGGGACTCGAACCCTGGACCCTCAGATTAAAAGTCTGATGCTCTACCGACTGAGCTATCCGGGCTGACGGTTTCGGTAGACTTAAGCGCATATACAAGACGCATTTGTGCAACGTGCAACGGATAATTAAATTATTATTATAGTAATTAATTGAAGCACTGTAAAATATGCGTATGAGAGGAAAGTAAAATTTAGATTGAAGCACTCACCATCTTGCAACCAAGTTTCTTGCCTGTAGCCTTGCGGCATGAACAACTCGCTCCCTGTAATCAAAGTTAATTTTTCGAAATAGCATGCATTAATTAATCGCGCTATTGATCGCGAGATAAAGTAAATAATGGGCGGGAGAGGAAACGCAAATACATTTGTTTGTGTATAGTGGACGTCGAGCGGTGTTTGCCGTAAATTGACAGGACAGGCGGTGCGCTTCCGTTATTTTTGATTAATTATCGGTACGTTCGTGTTTATGTGATACGATTCGATATAAAAAAAAAAGAGATGATTCTCTGATATCTAACGCGGTCGGAATATCCGCTCTCGACGGAAAGAAACGCGGCCAGTCCGAATCCGCGAGAGGACAAAGGGTGCGAGTGGCCGCGAATGAATCAGAAGCAAAAACAAACCCTTCCGCGTGAACGAGCGCATAAGAATGCCGCCGCAGAGAACTGGGGTGCGTTTAATGGGCCCCCAGGATTCGCCATGGGTAGCCACTCGGCGGTAACCTCGTTTCGTTCCACGGCAGAATCCAGTCCGACGCGAATCGAATCTACTTACTTACGTCACAGCTCATTGCTCGGCTGTAACGATATTCTCCTCCGCAAAGACACTTCGAGCGTTGTCTTTGGATGTCGCACTAAATCCATGTCGCTCGCAACGAATTTACGATCGCGGTGCGCACATTATCAATTACTTACGAGCTCTAAATGTTGCAAAAAAACTTTTTTCATGACTTTGTCCTATTTCTTATGTTGTAAGTATTTTTCTCTAAAGTCGTCAAAATGTAAGAGAAACAAAATAGAAATTGACAGAATACAGAATGCGCGGAAAGACTCGATCGAATCTAATTAAATTTGTTGTCATAGAAGCGGAGAAATCGTTACAATGTCGCTTCCAGATATGCAGAATGTGAAAAGATGAACGAAAGAGAGAGAGAGAGAGAGAGAGAGAGGGATGGAAAAGAAGAAAAATCGGGGAGCGATCAGCGGTACTTTCATCCGTCGCGGCGGCGTTTCAATATTTCTGAATCGTCGTGTCGAAAAGTGGATCGAGTCGGTGGGGAGGGGACGTAACGCGATTATGATAGAGAAATTGCGGCATTATAGGCAGTGATTGAGTTAGACGGAGGTGGTCCATCCCGGGCGAGCGGTGGCTTCACGCCGTGGCATGCCAATGCTAGATATAAAGTGTCAATCACTGCAGCCAGACGCCGGCTGGGGTTGTTCGGCGACTCTCCACGACGAGGATACCAATGGGGGGGATGCGGGTTCCACTGCGAGGACACCCCAGGGAAGGTTTTTGCGGTGATAACACGTCACTTATTGAATCTCGTATCGGGGAATTGACGTCGCGTTTCTGGGTCAAGGCTGGGACACACTACGCCCGGATGAAGAAACGTCGTCGCGAAAGAGGACGAATTATCGTGACACTATAATTAACCCGTCGTATCGCGGCGGTTGAGAGAACGTTTCGCGACTCGTTCTGAAATTTCTGTATCTATATCTCAATTAAAAGAAGCAACATTCATCAGATAAACGCGATGGCTCTTAAAATAGAAGATATCATCGTTGATACCATCCTTGATTAGGGGGAGATCGAAGAATCAAGATATCGGACTTTGTATAAATTGATGCCAATGCTTATCGATTAAACTTTTGTACATTTTATCGGAAACGCAGCGCGTTGCGCGAAATGTTGACTAACTATTTGGAAAACCTTTCGGACAGAGTAATTGACGAGAAGTACCCGGGCTAGATTGTCTCACGATGCAACCGCGTCTCGCCGCGACCTTTGGAAAATAATGTCGTCGTTGATGCGACTATATAAAGATATCGACTCGACTGCCTGCGAGTGACAGGCTCTCTTCGGGGGGTATAGCTAAACCCTCCGCCTCTCTCCTTGCCGGCGCTTCGTTTCGGGGTACACGTCCCCGCACGTGTTTCCTAAACGTGCCCCTTCCTATGTGTGCGCTTCTCCTCTCGCGGTCTACACGACGGTCTTCGTGTATCGAAAGCCTCGCCCGATGGAAACGCGACGTCTCCGAGCCGCGCGACGGTATCAAAGAGCTTCAAAGTCGAACGACGGGGGAATCGAAGAATCGACCGGTCTCCGCTCCGCTCCTTTTCCCTTGATTACACCCTCGCAGGTTCGTTAAGAACGTCTAAGTTAAAACGTTAAAAGTGATTCAGATATTTCTGCATAAATGCACTTTCTCTCAGAAAAACAAAAAGGTCGAAATGACACGCGTAGAAAATTTACTGCAGACACGCGTGAATATTTCTCTTCGTCGATACGCGTTTTAATTGAAAAACGTCAGGTCGTGATTACAATCCTTCAGCCGAAATCCTTCATTAATGAAAATTTCACTCACCGGTATGCAGCTTTTCATTGTTCGCGGCTTGAGACACCGGGTAGTTACTGGGACAATAATCGCTGGTCACCGTCTGAAGCGGCTCGGGCAGTCTACCGAATCCGTTTCCGGGCTGGAAACACAGGAAAAAGAATCATGGATCAGCGTAAGATATAGAGATTTAATAATATCCAAATATGTCTCCGTCGAGAAATATAATCGCATCGCCAGATGGTCGCGGTATTTGACACATGTTTTGTTCTGATATTGTGAAATATAAATATTGGACGAATGTGAAAGAGAACGCGAGTAATTTCAAGAAAGTGATTGTGAGGCTGCGAGCTCTCAATATAGGAGCGCGAAAGACACAGTGAGAAATAGAGGGCGAAGGGTAAGAGAGGCGGCAAGAGAGGAAGACATCCGGTGAACGATTGGACGGTTTCCTCCTTGCGGGGCAATCTAGTGGTAAACTCAGTTACCGGTTTTGGGAATTTCGATAACGTAGACGTTGCCTTTGACTCCGTGAAATTTGACTTAGACTACGGGAACACAAGACTACAAAAAAAAAAAAATCTTACGCGAAAGACTATGCTGCTCGGAAAAAAAATTCTGTCACGTGGGAAATTAAATTTATAGAGTGATAAAACAATTAAAATGTCAAACTATTCGTAAAATATTGTATGTCATTTGTATCGTACAATTTCCCACGTTGGATATTTCTGATAGAAAGTATATTGATATTAACGAGCATCCGGCGGAGTCACGCTGCTCAAAGTTTCATTATTTGTTCATAATTTCTCCTCGAGATTTTCCTTTGATCGCAATTAATCGTCGTCCGCAATTAGTTGCCGCGATGGCACGGCGCCTGTAATCCGTGCGCTTCAACATAAATTTTAATTACACTCACTAATACCGCCTTAAATGTTTAATACGCCTGTCAATCCATTATGTATATATATTTACTGGCGCAAAAACGATTCGCGAGACACGTAGAATATTTCAATCGCGCACGAAACAAGCGTTAATATTCTATAATCTACACACATTAATTTAATAAAAAATAAGCTTCAAAAATACTTGCGCTAATATATTGAATGTAATATTTAATAAATATACTTGATATTTCAATTACATAATTAATGCGTGAAAATTATACTGTAGGATATTTATAAATAACGTAATGAAAATTATGCTGCTTAATCGTTTTTACGATTAAAATAATCTTTTGTCAGGCTGATCCTCCAACATATCGATGGTTCTTTGTCGAACAGGATTTAACAGCGAATTGATCAAGCAATGATGCGTAAGTGGGAAGGCGCAAACACGGGAACGCGTACCATTTGATGTCTCGTGGCCTTTCCCAGCGGATGTCGTTTTAGACGAATGCGCGCGGAACATTCGGCACGCGAGTTTATATATGCGCGCGTTTATGCCTCTCTCGTGAAAACGAGATACCCACGACGGATCGGGGGAACGCCCTGTCGTTCGCGACGGGGTTACCAGGGGTCCCGGCGCGCGGCACCCCAAATCTACGTTCTCCACCCTCGTAGTAATTGTGCACTTCGGTTCGGTTTATAATAAAGTCATCGAACGAACGACGCGTCGTCAAACTGTATCCCTTCCGTGATCATCCGACGGATTGAGAAACTAGATTTTAGAGATGAGGTATCGAGACAATGATAAACGGTCGACAAAAAGTGACTTTCAGAGGGAGAGATCAAAGATAAATTTGAGATTCTGTAATTCGAGTGAAAAACATGCCTAAACTACATATAAATCGTTTTGAAATCCATGGATTGAATTCTATTCGTGTTTTGTGTGGCGGGGAATGCGAAAAACATTTTGAAAAGAGTCAGAATGCGACATATGACATGTACGTAAAATATATATTAAAAAATGCATACATCAAAATACGTTGTGCGTAAAATTACAAATATAATTCAATCCTGCAATCTGTGACCAAAATTAAAAAGCCTAAAGTAGACATTTTTAAAAATCGCCACGTTTCGTCTGCGTTCCACTTTGGCCAGCGGGCAGATAAAAGGCGGCCAGAGTTTCTTCTGCTAATTACGTGTCGATAATGGCAAGGACGGTCAATTTTATCAACCACAGGCGAAAAGTCGTGTTACTTGGCCAAGAAAGTTTCCCTGCCGTCTTCCTACCCTTAGCGACCGCGAAGATAATGACGGTGAACACTGGGAAGACGGACAATGCCCGAGAGGGTGCGAGAGGGTCAGTATGGAAGAGATCTCGAGATTAAAGAACGCGTCGTACTGTGTCGAAGTTTATCAGCTAATTGCTTCCTACGCGTCGCAAAGATCGCGCTGAAAGGATCGAAATTTTTACTTTCGTTTTCGTACCGTAAGCAATAAGTACTCCTTATTTACATCGATCAAGAATCGATTTAATTAGGAGAATAGCGCTTGTGGCAAAAATATACATATTGTAAAAATATGTAAGACAAACAGAATTAAAATGATGATTGTGTGAGAGTGTGGTACCGTTGCCGTTTGGTTTAACACCAAACTCGTCGAGAAGTGAAGTAGGTGAACAGCTAAACAATCAGCAGATAAACAAGCCAGCACGGGTATCTCCACACACGCCCCATCCCCAAGAAGGCCACCCCTAATCATGGGAAACTCGAGTGGTGACATATGCTATCTCTCGCGGCAGTCAATTAAACGGCGCCGCCGATCCGACGGTGAAGCGGGGACCGCGTGTGGGAATCGGCCGATTTTTAGAGTCAACAAACATAAATCAAGTACTCGCCAAGTCATCCCCTCTCCCGTGTCCCTATATCCATTGACCACCCGCGGGTCCCGCGCATCGTGCCGTCACGGTGATGGCACGCACGCACGCACGCACGCGAGGGATAACGGCGACAATTACGTGTTTAGAGGACACAAAAGGGGTGGCACCCGTGGGACGAGCCATCGGAGCGTGGAGGCGCGTGCCGCGGCAATTCGCCACCCGACCGAGCGATCATCTCTCGAGTGGCCGCATTGTACGCGCGATGACCCTGGACCTCGTGCCGAGGACTCCATTGTGTCGGCCCCGAGGAAGTCGGACACGGATATCCGTATCAAACGGAGCTGCTCTTAATGCGGCGACGTTTAATGGGTTTAAACACCTTCGCGACCGACAAAGTACTGCATCTTCTTGGATGCTGTTAATGTAATGTAGTTCCACAAGTTTAAGCTGATAAAAAAAGCATTAACAATGCAGCCGAATTTAATTGTAACTAGATAAATATATCGATCGCGATCTGATCTGTTTTCTTGTGTCCATTTTATTTCTAGAATAATCAAACATGAAATAATTTCTCTCTTAGCTGTTGACTATTCTATTTGACTCATTGTTAGTGAGATAGTCGCAATTCATGGCGCGATGAAAAATAAGTTTTATGGGATAAATCAACAAACAAAAATCATCATTTACACAGTTTCTTTTCTCAGATACGGTCTTGTAATATTTCTATTACCGATCTAAATTTAGAATGGTAAATATAGTGATGATATTTAGATGGAAAAATATATAAATATGAATAATATGATTCGAAAAAAATTATTTTTTAATACCATATTTCTGCTTGATTCAACATATTAACAAAAAGAAAGATTTTTTATATAAGTTATCTACTTATTTATCTTTTCTTGGCGCGTACGACAAAGGTAAATTAAATTAATAAAATATTATAAATTCAACTGATTTTCTGAGATGCTAAAATCTTCAAATAAATTAGCAAGTATTGTTTTTTTTTTAAATCAATAAAGGATGTAATAAATTCGTCAATATATTATTAACGAGACCTTTGTAGTCCAATGCGAATCCTTTTCTTCAAATAACAGATACATTTTCAGCTACTTACTAAGCCCGCCAATTCCGTTGTCGCGGCAGGCACCTCCTGATCGGCAAGATTCATCATAACTTCGCGATTTGTTTTGTCCCCGCGATTTATCGCTATCGAACCGAAAATTTCTCACTTATCAGGACACACAGGATCGACGAGCCGAAATTGCGAAAAAAGGCGCAATCGAATTCGCGCGACGCGAGTCTCGTTGATCGCTACTGGTGTTACAGCGCGAAGATCGAAGATAGCACTGAATCGGGTGATTTGATCTCGGCGCGAACAGAGGGGTGAGCCACCCTCGCGGCCGGAGCCGGGGGGTTGTCTCCGAGCCCCGGTGTACGCCCCCAACGTGACGTAGAATTCAGTCCTGCGCGTATTTCGTCTCCTTGCCGACCACTGCCTAACCGGGTGCTGGGCGGAGCCTGAAACTCATTGGCGACATACGAGCTCACGATCAACGAGGGATGATGCTGCAGCCGCGGACCTCCACGCGAGAGAGGACCACGGGCTTTCAGCTCGAGCTCCGAGCAAATTCGATTCGATCGCCATCGAGATATTCGCGCGCGCGACTAGAAATACGTTTTAATAAAACTTTAAACCAGCCTGGGCCAAAACGTGAGCATTCCAGCAATTCGGACTGGGAATAAACTCGTTGAGGAAACGTTAACTCTCCTAAAAGCGTACACGTCGCAGTCTTTAGAAATCTTCGCAGATTTAGCGTTTCTTTGCAGATTCTTAGTGAAAATTACTGTACCTGTGTTCCGATAAGTTTTGTACACGGTGAACTGATTGAAAAATGTACAGTTACAAAATAGCAAAATATAAAAATTATATCCATAACTTTTCTTTCATTTTAATTCATTAGGAGTTACTGCATCTAAGAGAAACATAAAATGATAATCTTTAATTGTTTCTCGATTTATTTTCAAAATGACGAAATTTAAATTTACTTTGATCAAATATAATTTGGAAATTAAATAAAAATTAAATTATTCCTTTAATGAAAGATTATTAAGATCTCTGCTCAAAAAAGATCATTCGTATACTGCTCGCAGAGAAGGCTTGCCGCCTCAAGATTTCATTGATGCCTCCACAAGAGAGGCTTTTTTTTAGATGTTCAGCGAGATCGAGAGTTGGGCGTAAAATATAATAATCTATCTCTATGTGCATTGTGCATACTACTATATTTATTGTTTAACATTTATCATCGAATCATCGAAAATTTATATTTTGTTCACAATTTTATTTTTAGTTGCTATTATATATAGTTTAGGCACAATTTTTTAGGATGCCACGAAAAATTAACAATAATTTCGTAGATTTTGACTTTATTCCTCAGAAAGGAAAATAAACATTATGCACATTATATGTAGGTATTGCAACCGAACTAAGCGATACTGGTTTTTGTCATTTAAGCTTACAATCAGCAAAAATAATGTTTCTATTACATTAGTATCTTTTATGTCAATTATAAATAAATTATAACTAAAATGCAGCTAATCCCATCTAGTTTAAATTTTTTTTTTATTTTATTTTTTTTATTTATAATTGTTTACAAAAATACTTTTAAAGAAATCAATCAATTTATAATAAATTATATTATTTATATTGCCTATACAATTCATATAAACATAATCTTGAAATTTAGGACACAACCCTGATCAAGATATCTATTAGTGACAATAAGCACTTGTGTTATCGATAGAAGCTACCGCTTTGAACATCCGTAGTTAAATATACATCACGTGACAGCCAGGAATTTCATTGAGATGTCACCACCAAGAAGAAATATACGAGCATATACGAGCGCGTGCGCGACAACCTTGCCGAATGGATGACCCATAATTTTCCATAGCTTTTACTTACTATTTCGAGTAACTTCATAATCGCGAAATTGTGAATGAAAATGAATTTGCGCTAAGAAATATATTAAACGCTTGCTGACGACGATATGCGATAACGTGATTGACACGCCGAGTATATTGTAAACATCGAAGGTTCCCTCCGATGATAGCGTATTAGAGGCGAACGTCGAGAAAAAGATTTCGGAGTAAATTATCTCGGATGATAGTGTATATTACATCATTGTAAATAGCGGTAGATTTTTCGCGAATGACTTGCACCTTATTTCCACGCGATTGTTTGACCAACAACGTCGATATATTTGTATTAATATGTTGTCAATATGTCGATCATATAATAATAAGATAAAAACTAAAATAAGGTGTTACACCGACTTTCCAAATTTATTACAATTAATTTGAAAATAATAAAAATCTTGCGTTAAAAAAAATCTACTTAAAAAAATTTTCAATATACATATAGTGACATTATACATCGACAATAGAGTCAACCCTTATCACATTGCTTAGCAATCGATCACAGACCGACCGAGTAGGTATCAAAACTGCATCCGCAGTTGCAATAATGGACCGCAATTCTACCGCGAGATATCGCCGCGATCGACCGGTCGGAGTTTTTTGACCGCGCGGCTCAATCGATAGTTTTTATCAGTCGCGGTCGCGAGGGTGAGCCCGGTGAGCCGCGGGCCTGGTTTTGAGGTTAGGGTTAGTGACTCGGTGACACCGCGACGGACGGCGGCGGGCGGACGGCGGACGTCAGGCGGCGAGTTTTCGGTGCGCGAAGAAGGAGCGAACGCGCCGGGCATCGCTCGCTTCGGTCGCGTCAGATCGGCTGACGCCAGTTTTCGGTCCGCGAAATATTGTCCGCCGGTCGCGAGGGACGATCCGAACGGTGAAAATACGTCGCGCGTCCGCGACGGGATATCTGTTTATATCAGCGATCGCGAGACCGCGGGTGGCATCCGCCGCGCGCGCGCGCGCGCGCGCGTCCAAAAATAGAACGGTGGCGGCCGGCGGTGGCGGCGCCCGCCGCCTCGACGAGAGGAATTCCTTGCCCGCGAACGAGAGGCGAAAGGGGAGGATCGCTCTCCCGGAATTCTGGAGACGGGACGCGCCGATGTACACGAGGCCGGAGCGCGTGACGCGGCAACGTGCCGCGATAGGCTCCCGTTCACCCCCCTCGTTCACCCTCTCGCTCTCCCCGTCGCTTTCGGGAACGTCGTGAATTCTCCCGAACGCTTCTCGCGACCGTCCGGATCTTGTCGTCGACCCGCGTTCCGCGCACCGTCGCGTCGACGCGCGCTGGACCACCCGATCGAATGTCCGATCTCGCGACCGGCGCCAGTCCGTCCTCCCAGCAGCCGGTTCGGGGAATAGGGTCAGTTGGGGTTGCGACAGCGAGGTGAGTAGAGGACATCGCGATATCATGTTTGATCATTGACGTTTCAATAATCTCGCGCGCGACAGCTGTTGATCTGACTGACGAAAAATCGCGCAATCGAGCGTCCCGATCTCAAGCTGATCTCGAGCTTAGCGAATCAAGTTTTTGATATTGTGGGCAATAGCTTCTTTTTATTTTGTACTTAAGCTCAAAGATAAATCTTCATAAATCTAAGAAAAAAAAAGGATCGTTTATAAATGTCATTTATGTCATACAATGTGCTCCAAGTGTTGACAAGACTTATTTCTCTTTTTCAGCGTTTTCGCGCGAGAGACCGACCCGCGCGATATTCCCAGTCGTCTGTCCGCGACGATGCTCCGAGATTTATCGCGCGCGCGGCACGCGTCGTCGCGCGTCGCAGGATAGACGCGCGGGAGAGAAAGAGAAGAGAGAGCATCCACACGGGTCCTCGGCGGGGCGCGCCGCAAATTGACACATTCGGCGGTTCGCGGGAGGCAAGGTCGGACAAATGAGGCGTCGCGTGGTGGCGAGCGACGACGGCGCGAGGCGATCACCGGCAGGGACACCGATGACCGTACGTTGCTGCGAGACGGCCCCTGCGCGCGGGCCCCAGTGAGAAGATGTCGCAGACCGCGGATGCCGAAAGCGAGACGGGCTCCATTTGCGACGAGGAACGCGTCCGGAAGCTGTTCCAGGCATGCGACGGCGACGGCGACGGCTACATCGACAGGTGAGCGAGAATCATTTCAAGATCCACGCGGTGCGGCGGGACGGAGCGGAAGCCAACACTGTTAAGCTGGTTATACACTTAGCGAACGAACAGCGAATGCGAACGTTCAGATATTCGCGTTTTTGCTCCTACGTTGTTTGTTCTTTCTTTCGATTGCACGAAATACTAGAATTCGACCAGATTCGATGTTTGCTGCATGTAGCAATTTTAAATTTTTTATTATATCTGTTGAATAATGACAACAAACGTTTACGTTCACTGTTTGTTCGGTGTTCGTTCGCTAAGTGTATACCTAGCTTTAAATAGCGAAGGATGAAATTTAAACCAATACTACTTAAATTAAATAAGATTGTTATTTTTAGCTACCATGTGTGTCGAATTATTTTAACACAAAACAGTATCATTTTAACTCTATTGGTTTAGTTGAGTTTACATTGTTTTAGTTAAATTAACGACATTTTGAGTAGGAGCCAGTGGCGACTTATAGAAATGATTAAAATAATTCAAATTGAGTATAATTTGACACTACGAATTTAACAGTGTTAAATTTCACAAAACAGATTATTTTAACTCCAGTTTAGTTAAATGAACACTGTTTTAGTTAAATTAACGATATACTGAGTAGGCGCAGTGTCAGTCTCTAAGAATGATTAAAAAGACTTGAATTGAGTATCATTTGACACTATTTAACAGTGAAAAGGGGATGAATTCTCTGTATTGAATCCTCTGCGTCTCTTTGAAATAATGCCGCTTGCCAGAGGAAGTCTCCAATCCGCTATCGATATAGCCATTTCGATATAACCCGATTTCCGTTACTTTTGTTTTATGCCCGTTCTAGACTGGAGGATGAGCCGAGAGTCGGCTCATCCGCCTTCTATAGTGTACGTGACATAAACTATACATAACCTATAGATTTTCACCCGTCTACACCACTCACTCGGATGAGCCGAGAGTCGGCTCATCCTCCAGTCTAGAACGGGCATTAGTCTCTATTTGTGTGTATTTATTTTACGCGAATATTGCAACGAAAGGAAACCGCGCCGTCCCGAAAGGAAGGACCACGCCAAGCTGAATCTCGGACATACCCTCCGCGGAATTTCGTTGAAATCAATATTTTCTCCCCGCGATGAAAATACTGAGACAACTTGTGGATAATCCCGCCGAGTCTGATTTTTTTCCGAATCCGAATCGCCCGTCGCACTCGGCGCCGTATGTAGTGACGTTATCCCGCGTTTCGCGCCACGCACTGAGCCGGATAAATTCGGTGCGCGGATCCTCGCGCGATTACACAATTAACGGTGGCTGGGTGCCGCGCGGAATGGAAAGAGTTCGTTGACGAGACCGCGCCTGCCGCTGGCACGTACGTTTTAATTATTTCTTCGATTAATTAGAGCCGTCTCCCCCTTTCATCTTTCTCTCTGTCTCTCTGTCTCTCTCTCTCTCTCTCTCTCTCTCTCTCTCTCTCTCTCTCTCTCTCTCTCTCTCTCTCTCTCTCGCTCTCTCTCGCTCGCTCGCTTTGCGGCAAGCTCGCCCTGCTGACTCCCGCGGGAATTTAACGAGAGACGACTGGCGCAGCGTATTTCTTTTTACCCAACTTCTGCGAGAGTACAAACTCGCCGAAGTCGGAATCGCGGCAATAGAGCAAGAGAGAGAAAGAGAGAAAAAGACCAATAATAAGTTCGCCATAATTTACGAGGACGAGCATCTCTCCCGCGGAGAGTAAACGCGGACTGTAGACCACTTTGTAACTTCTCATCTGCTTTTTTTTATTTCTCCGACTTGCGAACCGATCGAGAAAACATTTTCTTGTTGATTCATCGAGTGGACTGTCCGTTTCGTAGGACTAGCAATTTAGAAATTGTTTCCCCGTCTCTTTCCCTCCTCGCCTCGTCCGACAGAGTTACAAAATTCGGAAATACGTGATTTTTGCGAGCGGCTTTTAAATTAGATTCCGCTCTCGAGGACGTTCCGTTCTATCGCTCTGACCATTTCGTTCCTCGCTCGTCGTTTCCGTTATCGATGTCTCGATAACGTTTTCTCCCGTTGTTTTTCCTTTTCGCGGAGCGGTTGGCCGCCCGATCGGCGATGCCTTCGATATTACGCTTCTAACGCGCGACCGACGCACACGTACGGGAACTCCTCTCGTACGTGGGACGTGGGACTCGCGCGGGGCTGCCTTTTATTTCTTTTCAATGAAGCTAAAGGTGCACTTTTTACCGCGCTCGTCGAACATTACGGTCTATTTTGTCTCCTCCGCCCACCTCCGCCGCTCGTACGCAGGTTCCTGCCGTGGGTAAACTTACGAAGGTAAAATTACGTCTGCGTGGTCTCTCTCCGCGTATTACATGCATGTAATGTTTACACGGACTCCGTCCCACGTACGCTGTAAGCTGCGCAAACTACATTTATACACGTCGGCAGGCGGGCGAGAAACTCGGCGGCGGGTACTCCTCTTTTAATCGTGCTTTTTCTACGTCCACTCCTTTCTGCAAGTGAAACCGGAGACGATTCTTCATAAATATCTCGAGAAGCTTTCGAAATTTAATTTAGAAATTCTTTAAATATTATAAGACATGTATATTGTATAGATATGTATATTTTTTTATGTATGTGCGATGTTGTACGTAGAGATGTAGCGATACGTAACTTTTTATCTGTCGTTTAACGACATACAGGCGCAGTTTTAATCTGACAAGTACCACGATCGACAATAACTATTAACATTTTTTTGTTCCTTTAAGAATTTATCTCAACTATGTGTGTCGAAATTTATTATTTTAACACGAAATAGTATTATTTTAACTTGAGTTTAGTTAAATTAACGACATATTGAGTAGGAACAGTGGTGACCTATAGGAATAGTTAAATGACTAAAATTAAGTATAATTTGACACAACAAACTTTAACAGCGAATGAATTTAACTGCCTAAATCGCGACGTGTCATCTGTAAATAGTTTAGCAGAGACGCATTTAGATCCGGCAATTCGTCAAAAGATCGAGAATCACGACATATCCATTATCTCAACGTTCCGTCCAAGGATCGCACGTAATGAGGAGAACTCATTAACGCAAAGAAAATCGAATTGAGACTCGCGCTCGAAACAACGGTTAGCATGTCCGCCCGTACGCGTTTTAATCTCGCGGACGAGATTTATCGTCGACGATCTAGTTTTACCGGGGGTACGATAAAACGATCGGATCTTCCGAGAAATCGCCGCAGTGCAGTCCCGGCGCGCTGTTAACGAATCTCGCGCGATTGTTCCGAGATAAATCCTTCGATTCGAGGTCGCGGGCGGCATCTGCGAAATTGGAACGGGGAATGATTTATAATTAACCGCCATTCCCCATAATAATTGCCTTTACGTCGTTAATTATCGCCCCGGGGGGAGTAACATCGATTCGTTAACGAGGAATAATTTATTGCGCGGCGGACGCGTCGTTGCGGTGTTTTATAGCGATCATACGGCTCGAGCGCGATTTCTCGCGTTTATTTGTTATTTTACTTCCTTTTTTTTATCTCCGCGATGCATTAAAGCTCATCTAGCCTCGCGTACATACAAGCGCGTTTTTAAGATAGATTCACCGAGTACCGGGCGGCGGCCGGGAGCGGGGCCGCAGGGTGGAGAGTGCGCGCGTTCTACAAACAAATTAAGAGAGCAAACCCGGCAGCCATAGTTCCTCTTCGCGTTAAAGAGAAGAACGGGACAATATTTCCCGACTTGTTGGCATTCATTACACCGCGCTTTCGTAACCTCGTTATACCCTCTCTCGCTGTCGCCGCGCACGTGATGCACATTTTCGGCATCCTGCACGTCGTCGCACGCAAAGTTCCGTCCGCGTCCTCCAAGCGTACGTAATACTCCGGAATTTTACTCATCTTTCTTCCCCCGGTATCATCTCCAACGACAGACTCCCTAAACCGAGATCGTTATCTCGTTTCTTCGATCGAAACGAGAGTTCCTCTCGCAAGGCGAGCTCTCGGGAGGAAAGAAAAACGAAACGCGAACGTTTTGTCGAACGCCGAATTTCCGTGCGTGATCATCGCGTTGATATTGAAAAGCGGTGACCCAATTTTCCGGGGGGGCACCGTTCGGCGTTTCACGCATGCCGCGAGAGACGATTGTGTGCGCGTCGTCTCGACGCGGGCAACGGCGGATAGGAATTGAAGAGAAGTCCGGGCGAAGCGCGCGACGTGGAGGAAGGGTCGATTCCGTCGATGGCAAACCCTCGACGACACCCCGAGGGTTAGTTCTCCCGTCGGCGAGGGGGAGAGGACAACGCGCGCGTTGTCCCCGCGTTTTATGGCAAGTGAGTCACACCACCACCGCGAGATCGGGTTCTATCTTCTCTTCTCCCGTTTCTCCCCCGCTTGTCGTTTTGGTTGTACGACTGATCCTTCGCGCAGCGAAGCCGGGTCCCCGCGCTTGATGGCAGACTCGTTTATCGGCATTTCTCTCCCTCCACCTCTGATTCTACCTCCGCCTATGTGCCCCCCCTTTATCTTCTTTTATCTTTCTCTCTCTCTCTCTCTCTCTTTTTCATCGCGCAAAATACAGTCGACGAATATCGGTTGCAGCATCCTGTAATGCAACGGATTTCCGTGAACGTGTAGTCGTAAACGTAAAATTCCGCTTGTCGATGTTCCGCTGGAATAACGCTGGAATAAAGGAGCGAGTGATCGTCGTTCAAGTCGAAACCGCACGTCCGCAGATGTCGGCGTAAGTTCGACTCCGATATCTTTTCCTCGTTCTCGTCCTCGCCTTTGTCCTCATAGATAGACGATGCATCTTGCGAACAAACTTTCTACGATATAATTTTTGAAGAATTGGCTAGAGATGGTAGTTCTCTTCATTACAAAGGAAATGACGGAATAAAATTTTGGCTGTAATACAAGAATAAGTTGAGCCGAAAATTCACGAAATACAACGAAATCGAAACGAAATATGAAATATTAGCGGAAGTACTCGGCAAGGATCGATCGGGCGCCAGTATCAGCTAG